GAGTCAGTCTCCAGTGCTCAGTTGAAGCAAGGCTCGCATCGGCTGACCAAGATTCGCGCAATTTCCGGACTCATCATCAATCCAAGAACAATTATTTTGAAGAGCGACTTAGATCCAGACCACCAAAATAAGTTTTTTCGACTTTCGCCCGAAGACACACAAAAAAAAAAAAAACAATTTCTTAAAGAGCAAACAACTTGAAGTGTTAAAACTCGCCTAACGGAAAACAACGTGTTACAATCCATAGAACGGGTCGGGAGATAGACGCAGTCCTATGTATCCAACAACTAGACATAAAGTTTGTTATCCTTTTCTTTGATACCTTGAACTTTTGAGTTATCATTTTATTTCTTTTATACGTATTTGTGCGATACCACCCCCGCTTGGACCCAACTTGCATTGCGGCCCCAACGACTGATTGATTTCGTGTGCCTAAGATCGATTCACATCGTGGGTGGGCGGACTGGAGATCAACGCAGTTACTTTGGTAAACAGGCGTTGGAAGCGAATTGGGAACGACGGGGCTGATATCGAATCTAACCAGATTCCCATCCGAATCACCAAAAGGTTAGAACGTCACATTTGGGTGCCGCAACCGATACCAAGCCAGTTGGTCGTCACAGGACGAGACAACACGACTGACGCGACAGGCGGACGTCACGTTTGGAGCGGTGACACCCGAACGAAGCAGCGAGGAGCGAGCGAAGGCTGTGTTCAGGGACGTCACAAAAACATGTCAAACGACTTTGAGATATTCAAACCCAAAGCTCGAATTTCGCCGTTATTATCAGTAGCTTGATAGACATATTGAGTGAGAGCCGCAATATGTCAGCGATAGACCGAGCAAAGTGGAAAACATATTGTTTGTCAGAGAGTAGGTCGGAAGAGGTAAATGCTTAACCATTTCAACATTGATGAAAACGTTGAAAAGCGGTAGAAGACTAAGACTGTTTTTTACAGTAACGTTTACTCTGTACGAGAGCCACTCGAGGTAAAGGGTTACGTTAAGGGGAGGTTTATATATGGGAGGGGAAGATTTTTACATTATTTACATTATTCGGACCATTGTCCTCATCTTTGTCGCCATATTTATCACAACGTTTCGGCCGTTGTACGCTCCGGCCTTCTTCAGGTGGTTGGAATGTTGAACTGAACCCTTTATTTCGCTCACTGGGGTAGACTGTTCTAGTTACACGTGTTATGTTTGATGGATGTCAGTTATTAGTTATCTCCTGCCAATTTCCCTCTAAACACATGGCAGGGTGGATAAAGACGTTGGTTAGATCCAGTGACAGGACCCAAAGAGTGTGAGTTCAATACCCGGTTAAGGCAGACCGATTCCACTGCATATTCTTTTTTGGATTTTGTCAAGAATGAACAAAAGCCGTGGATCAGATATGGCAACAGTATTCAATGCACGGACGAATATTTAATTTGGTTTTGAAATAAGTCCCCTCGTATGAAGCAGTCAGTGAGTAAGTTGAACTAAGATAGAAACCAGTTAAATATCGTCAGAGGATCTGTTCAACTCGCTAGAAAATCGTTACAGACTAGGATTAATGTAACTGGAAAAATGTACGGATATTTACGTTCCCTTATCAAATTAATATATATATATATATATATATATATATAGACAAGACATCAAAATGAACGAGATTTATTGTCCCATTCTTGGAGATAGAAAAAGAAACGTATTGCAAAATAACATCCGTCAAACTTGTATAAAATGTTCAAAGGCATTGATACAGTATTGCGGCCATTTTTTTCTCACCAGATATTTCATTCATTTGTCTCCGTGAGTGCAACACCCTTGCAGCAGTCACCCGGTTTCCGGACCAGTGAATAATCTTCCGGAAATTAAATTAAATCAGCGCACCATATAGTCGCTCCATGAATTCTTTCACACACTTAATTACACACGCACACAAACATTTATATATATATATATATATATATATATATGAATTTGAGTGTGAGTAGACACATACGTAAAAAATATGCTTACCTGCATATATATATATATATGTGTGTGTGTGTGTGTGTATGCATTATATTCTTGCCAAAGGAACTGATCGTACAAATATATTTACATATAGATAATAGAGATTTGGCTCCTTCGCAACAGATAAACGCGCGCACACACAGACACACAATTTGGAACACTCACATACAGCTATGTACTCACATAGACCGTTTTTGAAAGCTGTCGGAATTGTTGTCATGGCCCGCAATGGATGCATCAGCTTACTATTATGAACGCCTTATTTGTAGTTATGGTAGATATATATTTCTATCATGTCTTTTCTATACTTGGTAAACTCTCGTCGCATGTCTGTATAAGATATTTTTTGCTTTTTTCAGTGGTGTTTATCGTGTACAGAGTCCAGCGGTTACTGAAGCTAGAGAACTACAGAGTAAGAAGCACAGCTTATGTGACTATATATGGAAGATAACGGTTTGAACTAGTCTAGACCAGGTTAAGATTGTAGTGATCGGGGGTGCAGCCTATTGGGAGTCAGTTCTATAAGGCAGTGTTTCGTGGGTGATAGCTTTTTTCAGTGGAAGTTACAAATCACTATGCCAATATGAAGGAAATGATGGAGGTCCGCTTAAATGTCCATGGCATAGCCTTGAAGCTCAGGACTACTAGAACTCTCTCCATGGAAATAAGAGATAGAGCAGGGGGGAGGTTTTCGACGTTTCGCCTGTGAGAAGCGGTTGCAGAGTGGAAAATAACTCGTCACCTACGAGGACTCAGAGGCGCTTTTGGACTCTATCAAGAGTGGGATGTGAAGGTTGGTCAGCTCTTGCCCATATATGGCAGCAGGTCCATTTTCGGCCTGATCTGGCTTTTGCAAAGGTAGATGATAGAAGAAGAGTAAAGAAACCGAATATTTTATCAGCATCTTATCGATGGATCGTATGGACAATTTTCCCGAAATTTAGGTAGAGTTTAAATTCCAATAAGCGCTAAAAGCACGGCGTATTCCTGGGGGAACATCCTTTCATCATGATTAGTGAAAGTTCTGGGTCCGATCAGCCATGGTGGAAGATCTAGTTTGGTTTTTGGGACGTTGAATGTGACCAGCCAGTTTCTCCTCTCCCTGAGCTGCTAGAATTAGTTCAGAGGAGAGATCAGCTGCCAAGAGCTGCTCATCGAGTGTTTGTAGTTATACAGTTGTGTCATCAGTATAGATATCAAGAAATTACTGAAGTATGCTCTTAGGCAGACCATTTATGTGGAAGACAAAGAAAGAAGGACCGAGAAGTGAACCTTGGGTGACATCCACTGGGATTTTCAGGACAGGTCATTAAAAACTACCTTCAGGGAGATACACATTAGAAAGGACTTTATAACTGAGAACACACATCCAGTGACTTCATAGCGAGCTTCAGGAGTAATCCTTTATGCTATACATTTGAAATATCTACCTATGCTTATGGCTGAAGATTTATCTTTTTCCAAAGATCATCATTCTTCTTCTTTTGATTTCAAATTCCCTTCAGGTCGTAATCGGTTATGAATTAACAGAATTTCCTGTGTAAGATGTACCCTTTTTACCATCGCTCCCTTTTTGTATTCCACAATCAATTCACACATACTGGTTAGGTAGATAGCACGTTGTCTCCCACTATGACTTTTAACTTCTATAAATCTCTTGTATGTCAAATTCTCCAAACCCTCATTGCTCAATGTCTAACAAAGAAATCTCAGAAATCTCTTTTGGATTCTGAGTTTAAGTGTCATTTTCGTTTTCATTTTCTTAAAGAATTATTAGTTGCCCTCACGCTCGATCTATAGAACTTTTAGCATCTTTCTTTTAGGCTTACGTCCACGCCACGTTGAAACACCGAAGTCCCACTATGATCACCGAAGCCTGGCCACTACCTAGAGATGTGACCACTTCGGAATACAAGGTGCTGTAGGCTTGGATAGCGAGTGTTGTAATGGGTAATGACTGATAAGAATTTTTTAATCCTTCTGTAGGGCGACATCTTTGCTGGCACCACTCGTCTCTGCATCTGTAAGGAAACTGTCAAGCATTCATTGCCATATGAAATGACACATAATATTATACATTCATTGCCACATAAAATGACACATAATATTATACATTCATTGCCATATAAAATGACATATATTATACAAGTTGTTTCTAAAATGAAATTTTCAACAACATTTGATTGAAATGGATTATTAACTAACAGCTTCAATATGATTTCTATCATTTGTGATGCAAAGGTAGATTCGCTTTGCAAGTGTTGTAACTGAGTTATCAAAAAAAAAATACAGTAAAAAACTAGAATTGGTTTAACAACAAGTTTATTACCTATTGGTACAGGGAAACATAACGCAGAATAGAAACTCGTGAAGAGCATGTTTAGCTGTGAATGAGTAATTGTTTTCAGTAAAGCCTGCTAATGCTACTGCTCCTGCTGCTACTCCTCTTGATGTAGGAGTATTTTTATTTCTTTCGTCTGACGGCCGAGTGAATACTTGTAGGGAAATATTGCCTCACAACAACAAGATTTACGTGAACTCGATGCAATAATTCGGGACTGACGTCAATTGTAATATATTCACTCTTTATACGTCTAATCGTTGGGTTGCATCTGTGATTTACATTAAGTACACCGTCTTCTTTAGCAAACCCAAGAAAGAGAAGTCAGTTCTTTTTTCTTTCGAGAAAACCATGCTTAATCAGTAGAGGTAAAAACAATGTAGTTAATGAGATTACACAGGTGTTCAAATTTTAGGGCCAATCGGTATAAGCCTATATATTTGTAGTTCGTATTTCGAGTTTTTTTTTCTCTTGCGGACATCCATACATCCTGACTTTTTACAATTGATGGTTTGTTTTATTTCTCTCGCTTTTCTTTTGCTACATTGTCTAGTACGCCTTGCAATTTTCTGTTTGTGCCAGTACAGCGTCATCTGCCTATTTTATATTTTTAGGATAGCGCCCATCGATAATAAATCTTGCCTGGGTCGGCAGAGAGTATTCTCACGTAATAAACGTAAGCATCAATAACTGTTTCCGCTTACACCACCAACAATACTTACGCAAACTCGGGCAACACATTTACTATCTATCTATCTATCTATCTATCTATCTATCTATCTATCTATCCCGATATCTGCCAATGCCATTAGTTTACTATCTATCTATCTATCTATCTATCTATCTATCTATCTATCTATCTATCTATCTGTCTAAACTAATCTATCTATCTATCTATTTATCTATCCCGATATCTGCCTATGCCATTAGTTTACTATCTATCTATCTATCTATCTATCTATCTATCTATCTATCTATCTATCTAAACTAATCTATCTATCTATCTATCTTTCCCGATATCTGCCTATGCCATTAGTTTACTATCTATCTATCTATCTATCTATCTATCTATCTATCTATCTATCTAAACTAATCTATCTATCTGTCTGTCTAAACTAATCTATCTATCTATCTGTCTAAATTAATTTATCTATCTATCTATCTATCTATTTATCTATCTATCTATCTATCTATCTATCTATCTATCTATCCCGATATCTGCCTATGCCATTAGTTTACTATCTATCTATCTATCTATCTATCTATCTATCTATCTATCTATCTATCTATCTCGGTCCATTCATATATTGTCTCTGTGCGTCTATTCATATCTATCTATCTATCTATCTATCTATCTATCTATCTATCTATCTCAGCCTATTCATTTCTACCGACGTCTGCCTAATAAATGAGGCCTCAAATTGCATGACCGTGCGCCAAAGCTGTTACCTCCATAATCATTTTAGTGTCCGGAAAGCGTACGGCCAAATCAGGCTGAAACGCTGTTTCTCGTACAATCTCCGAATTTAAACTTGTCAAGCCTAGTCAATATCTGGATGGGTAACCGCTTGGGAATAACAGGTATAAGCATGGATGTGTGGGTGGTGTAATGGATAAGGGATCGGAATTATTAATCGGTGAGCTGTGATCAAATTCCAGTTGGGTTCGTTATATTCAGCTACACACAAATACTCTTCTCCATTCAGCTATGTGCTAATTCATTACCACGCAAAAAACAAAACAAATATTTTCTGGCTTTAAATAACCTACAAATGGCTGCTAAGCCATAAAAAAAAAACAAATCAATCAGTTCCATGTCTATAGAATCTGCGCTTTTCCATGGCTGAATATCTTTTAGAATTCAGTGTTTTTCTAAACTGGTTTCAAAATATAGCTACTGAGGGGCGGGGGAGATGGATTGATAAATTTTCCAAGGTTATTTGTTAGAAATTGAATGTAACGAACATGGTCGGAATTCGAACTCGGATCGCTGTTTTCTCTTTCTGAACCGCTACAACTATATACTCATTTCTAATCGATGTTTGATACCTAATTAGAAGTGAATTAATGAATTCCCATAAGGTGATTTTTCTAGGTCGTGTCAATCGTTAACTATTCCCTTATCCTCATAAACGCCACTTCTTTCAACCTGGTCATTGATTGCTATCATCCAACTTATTCCTCCTTAAGATTTGAACATTAACACTCTACATTGAGTGGCTCTCGGTAAACCGAAGGAATGACTAATAAGACTTAATGTGATCAGCATATAAATATTCGGTGTTAGTATATGCTGTGGTGTCCTCCCTCTAAATAGTCTATGTTGCACTCTTCCGCCTACTATAAGATGAGTAGGAGAGAAAGCTTTCGGGGAACAGTCGAATAGATTGTTCAACTGTCCAAATCTCTGCCTCGGCAGAGAGGAAATCGGGCGAAGCTTTGCCGCGGGGCAAATTTTCGTCCTCGGAGGTAGACAGTCCCTGAACCCGTCTAGGCGGGTTCAAAGGGAATATTTTTGGCCGAGCCTACGCACTCGGAGAAACCCACGTTAAAGAGAGGAACCCGGACGAAGCTTTGCCGCGGGGCAAAGTTTCGTCCGATGAGATAGACAGGCCCTGAACCTGTCTAGGCGGGTTCAAAGGGAATATTTTGTCCGAGCCTACGGGCTCGTAGAAATCCACGTTGAAGAGAGGAACTCGGACGAAGATTTGCCGCAGGGAAAAGTTTCGTCCGGTGAGATAGACAGGTCCTGAACCCGTCTAGGCGGGTTTAAAGGGAATATTTTTGGCCGAGACTACGCACTCGGAGAAACCCCCGTTAAACTCGGCCTTGTGCCACATACATTCCTTGTGGGGGGACTGTTAAATATAATAGTCGCATAGATTGTTCAACTGTCCAACTCTCTGCCTCGGCAGAGAGGAACACGGACGAGGCTTTGCCGCAGGGTAAAATTTCGTCCGGGGAGGTAGACAGTCCTTGAACGCGTTTATACGGGTTCAAAGGGAATATTTTTGCCCGAGCCTACGGGCTCGGAGAACCCATGTTAAACTCGGCCTTGTGCCACATACATTCGTTGTGAGGGTGGGGGCTGTTAAATATAACAGACGCATAGATCTGTTCGGACTGTGCTGTCGAACTCTCTGTTTTTGGCGGAGATGAATCCGGACGAGGCTTTGCCGAAGGGCAAAGTTTCGCCCGGGGAGATAGCCATAGCCAGATCCCAAAACCGCTTATGCGGGTTCTAAAGGAATATTTTTCGCCGAGCCTACGGGCTTGAAGAACCCACGGTAAACTCGGCCTTGTGCCACATACATCTCTCGTGGGGGGGCTGTTAAATATAATAGTCGAATAGATCGAACGCTGGGTCAACCGATACACACTCTCTAGTCGTGTAATACTCTTCTGTTGCACGTACTGTTTTGTTATTTCTTTACCATTTACCTGGTCACAACCGTATATCACTAATTTAGTGTATTTGAGTTTTCCTTTTTTAGTCATCACGTCCTTTTATTTTATTATCATCGATTGAGTTTTCATAAGTGACAAGCAAATTCGATTAACTCCCAGTATTATTTTTTTACCTGTATTAAATACAACTTTCTAATATTTCTCTTGATTTTAACATGTATTTAAAACATGCCGCTTTTCTACGCCATCATAAAATTATTATTATTAAACTAAAAAATTAATTTTAACAAACAAAATCTGTATACAGTTTTCGGGACAGCCTGCAAATTTTCAGTTCCACTTAGGTCTGAATATATGTATATTCTATAGTTTCAATGAAGGCCAGACGTAGCCATGTCACCTGTCTGCAATTGCCATCCTCCTGTTTCACTCGTATTGTGCCGTCAGTCGTATTCTTATAGTCCGAATCATGCTGGGTCCCAGTCGTATGAATGCGCTCTAATTGAAAAGTGCTGCCAAGTACTGGCATGATAAAGCGAATTTCTCGTTGCTGACAGCGTGTTCACGAAGTAAGACAGGAAAAATCGGAAAATCGTGAAATAACAAGAGCAAGTACACGAGCGAAAGGGAATGGACGAAGACTTAATTAAAAGTCTTAGACATCCTAGCGGTCATTGGTTCGGCACACACATCGGAAGTCCGTCTGGAGGACAAAACTCGCCATAACACACTCACGTTCGTCTGTGTTACTTTGAAGGAGTGTTGTAATAATGTACAGTGTTCTTGTAAAGAAATGGGTCCAGTCTGTAGTATTTTGTTTTAATTTAAATCTACAACTTGCGTTAGCTGTGCATACTTAGAGAAAGTATTAAATACTCAAGGAATATAAGTTGGGATTAAACATCCTCAAAACTGAAAAGCTAAGCAGATATAGTAACCTCTTCAAAAACGATTTTTTTTAAAAAAAAATAAATATATGCAACAGAAAGCGAAGTTGATGCTTATAAAATATCGAAAACATTAAACAAAATACTGTTTTGTGATGAGAAAATGAATAAATAAATGAACGATGTAGACAGGCATATGTATCAATTTGTAATACGGATCAGTTTGTAATTTTGCACAATTATAAATTTATTTCAATGTTATTCCTATCCTTCTGATTAATGGAGAATGATTGTGCAAAGTTCATTGACAATGAAAATGTTACAAAAATTGTTTAGTAATATACATACCTATTTCGAAATATGGCTAAATGATTATTGATTAACCTATGTACACACACACACACACACACACACACACACACACACACACATATATATATATATATATATATATATATATATATATATAGATAGATATACATATCCATACATACATACATATATATATATATATATATAGATAGATAGATAGATAGATAGATAGATAGATAGATAGATATACATATACATACATACATACATACATACACACACACACACACACACACACACACACACACACACATATATATATATATATATATATATATATATGGTGGAGTGTCCTGTCGTATTCGATGTATTAAGGTCAAGCAGCTCAGTTCCTTTGGAACCGACAGCCAGACACCAGCACATATGATTTGATTATCGTAGTGAAGTTTTTGTGCAGAACCAACCACACGTTTTCAAGGGCCAAATACAGAGATCTGGTGCACTACGTACCATATGAACCCCATCGACCATTCGCGGGTTTTGAATTCAGAGTTGTCCTTCTCCTGGACCAGTTGCCATGCAAGGTTATAGAACCCAGTCTGTCCAGTTATTTACCAATAACTGCAGGGAGAAGAAGAGGATTAATACCTTTCCCAAGGGTATTAGCACGTAATGAATGTAATGGTTTTGACTGAATTGGAACTCATCTCTCCGATTCCTCATTCCGAGCCGCTATCGTATACTCCGATATATATATATATATATATATATATATATATATATATATATATATATATATATATATATACACGAATACGCACATACGCACACATACCGGGTGTAACAGCAAATTGTCAAAATCGTGTAACAGCAAAATTGTTGTATCTTAAAAAAACAATTAAATAAATGGTAGAATATTCATATGTGGAGAAGGCAGATAGAGTTTTTACATAAGGCCGTAGTAATGGTCATGAGGTTGCACGGCTGTATGAGATTGTATTCCAAACCGAAAGTAGCCGACTCATCCAAGCTTTGCTGCTGTTTATCGCCGGGTTGCTGAGACAGAGTCCGTGGTCCCACAAAATATAAATCGAGGAAAACCGAGATCTACTCCTATGCCTGACCACGTAAAACACATTCTCCAGGTAGTCGGAGATGATCACGATATCAGTACACGTCAAGTGACCCTAGCATGTCTTACACGTTATAGTACCGCATGGAGGTTATTTCAAGTGCAGTTCTTGTATCTGTATCGTTTGTAACGTGTGCATGATCTTTCGCCTTCTGATCACTCACCACAGGAGAACTTTTACTGATGTTTGTCTTGTTTACGGATGAGGCAACATTTGGAAATAATGTAATACCAAATTACACAACAAACATT